TGTGTGTGTGTGTGTGTGTGTGTGTGTGTGTGTGTGTGTGTGTGTGTTTTTACTACCAACATGACAACATGAAATTTTATTTTTCCTGAAATACAGTTTGAGGCAGCATTTTTAAATTAATTATTTGATATTTCTTATTATTGTTTGTATTTAATTTTATTCCATTTAATTTTATTATTTTTATTCTATTGACAGACTGAGTGACTTCTTGATTTAACATCAAATGGCCGATAACTTTAACCAGAATGATGCTTTTATTTTGAAGCCGGTTCTTTCACGCTCTTACCGTAATGCCTAGTAGAAACGTGCACCACAAACCGTTTGTTTGGTTGTGACCGTCTTTTTCTTAGTTCAGGCTGTCGTCTTCCATCACTGATGTTTATCGTGTCATCCTCAACCTTATTTCAGCCTTATTTACCTTATTTTATCTGCTTAATTTAATCCTCCATCGGGCACCTGCTCAGAACAGAAAACATGGGTCAGGACGTGCAGACGTTTGATTGGCTGTTGGCAGCCAGTCAGTGAGGTCATTGACATCAGCGTTGTTGGCAGCGGGACGTTCACCAGTCGGTCCTGTTGTGTTTGTGCTGCTGTGGAAACCAGGCTGTTGATTGGCTGCCAGACAGGAAGTGTGTTATCTGGAGACAAGCCGGGCAGCTGAGTCCTGATTGGCTCTTATCAACAGGCCTCTTGTTTATTCACTCAGTGCGTGTGCGTGTGCGTGTGTGTGTTACAGAACGGTCATCTGGAGTGTGTGAGGTGGATGGTGAGTGAGACGGAGGCCATCGCTGAGCTGAGCTGCACCAGAGAACATCCCAGTCTGATCCACTACGCTGCTCGCTATGGACAGGTAACACACACTTTAACATGTTTCACACACGCACAGACGTTAACATGTTTCACACACGCACACATTGACAGGTCTCTACCAGAGACGTATACGCCGTCTCTACGTCGCTCCTCCTCAGTCCAGATATGGTCACTTCCTGTTCAGTTGTTGTGAAACACAACATCTCTGTGATTTGAAGTGTGGTTGTTTGACTTCAGGGTAAAACGTCTCCGTCTCTCTGCAGGAGAAGGTGCTGCTGTGGTTGCTTCAGTTCATGCAGGAACAGGCGATCTCTCTGGACGAAGTCGACCAGAACGGAAACACAGCGGTCCACGTGGCGGCTCAGTACGGACACCTCACCTGTATACAGGTGAGTGACTCTAAACCTGCTGCTTAATGTAAACCTTTTAGTTTACTTGGCTCTGCTCCCACTTATCGTGACGGAGATTTAGTTTATTGTAACAATGTGAGGCTCATGTTTCCTGCAGAATGTTTTTAATCCTCAGGCGGATGTTATCAGTCCCGTCTGCTTCCTGTTGGCTCGCCGGGCCGACAATCGGTTCATTATTTCAATAAAAGCAGTTCCTTCTCAGCAGGGATCTGTGCTGTGAGTTTAAAGCTCTTTCTCTCGTGTCTTAGACTCTGGTGGAGTACGGCTCCAACGTGACGGTGCAGAACCAGCAGGGGGAGCGGCCTTCCCAGAGTGCCGAGCGGCAGGGACACACCACCTGCGCTCGCTACCTGGTGGTCGTGGAGACCTGCATGTCGCTGGCCTCGCAGGTCGTTAAGCTCACCAAACAGCTCAACGAGTAAGTTACTGTAGTTCTTACACTTATCAGCAGTGTTTCACCATCTCTCCATTGTTCCCGTTAAAAGATTTAACTAACTGAAGCTCTGGTCATACGGTGAGAAGCAGCTGTAGATAATCACGTATGCTTTCATTTCTTTAAACAGATTTAATTCAGCTATTAGACGGTTTTTAATCAAACTTGATTTACATCCAAGTTTGTTGGCAGAATGAATGACGTCAGGAGCAGACGTCTAAGACCCGCTTTTAAACCCCAAAGTCTTGCTCTTCACTCCCTGATTGTACACACGCACCGCATGATTCTTTGACGTCGTGTCAGCTAGTGAAGACGACGTAAAGTTTACAATTTCTCACAACTGTAAGTCCAAAATAATCCATAGAGGAACAACCTTTAAAAACATTTGGAACAACTGGAAAAAAAACTGTTTGTCAGAATCCACACGTCAGGCTTTCAAAGATTTGTAAATGCAGCGCTGCTTGAGGCTCAAATAAACCGATTTAGTTGTGAATGAATTGCAATAAACGGATCAAAAGGATGCAGAAACAATGACATAACGATGCCGATTGGTAAAAGGTTTGGATTCATGCTAACGCTATGCTAATGTCGTAGCTGCTCCATCAATCGTTAACGCTGTTGTTTGTCACGCAGACAGGCAGCAGAGAGGACGACTCTACAGAAACAGATGCAGAGACTGATGGACCCCAACAAGGCTGAGGGGACACCTTCCAGATCCCCCAGGTAGCACGCATACACACACACACACACACACAGAAACTCTCTATCCTGTTTTTAACTACATTTCCCATGAGTCTGGAGTTCATATAGTTCTGTAACGTTTGAAATGTGGATATTTTTGCACCACGATCATCTATTGTGACGCCTAGTCAGAGTTTCTCCTCCTTGTTGTCACGTGACTGTTGGTCTCAGATGAATCAATCATGACTTCATAGTGTCTCTGAGGAACTCACAGTTTAATGTTTTTACACACTCTGGTTAAAGTGAACACTTTATTAGAGGAGAGACTTATAATGAGAACATAAAGAATAAAATGTTTTCATGAAATATCACAACTTTACGCTTTGATTCGGTTTCTTTTTCATGACGGAAGCGTTTGTAACACATGATGTGTTCAAGGACCGTCGGAAAGATGAACATCTGACGACAATGACCTCCCAGCTGTGTAGTTTTGGCCGTTTATAGAAAACATGCTTTTCCATCCCAACGGAGGGTTTTTGGGGTTCAGAAGGTTTAAATTCAATCACCTGAACCAGCTGTCAGACCATAACCGTGTACAAGTACGGTACCAGTACTACAGCAGCTTTAAAACATTATTTAATACAATACTTTTAACTGTATTCAAGACTCCTTCAGAGCAGTTTAACTTCACTTTTACCCAATCAAAAACGTTAGTTCTCTCTGTAAAAGCCTGTTCTACTATTATAAACAGTAGTATTATTATGTAGTTTGTAGTTTGTTTGTTATTAATAGCGTCCACGTAGAACATGTAGAAGTAAAGGCTCGTGTCTGTCTGTCTCTCTGGACTCCAGCTCCCATCAGCCCTCGGGGGAGGCGTGGCCAGAGATGATGTTGACGGCGGAGGAGACTCCAGGCGACGGCTGGTTGGTCCGTCAGGGAGGGGTGGGCCCGACAGGCAGACCGGGGCCCTCGGGGGCCTCAGCTGCCTCGGGGCCCTCGGGGGCCCGCAGGACGGGGCTGGTGGAGCGGAGGGAGCTCAAACTGGCGAGACTCAAGCAGATCATGCAGCGCTCGCTCAGCGAATCGGATTCGGACGGGTATCCACCGGAGGAAGGTAAAAACCCAGGAGCCTCGGCCTCCAGCACGCTGCGCCCTGATAGGCCGTCCCACCTGCCAATCACAGAGGAGGAGCCGGAGTCAAACCACCTCAACCTGATGAGGAAGACCCTCCCCTCCTCGTCCTCCTCTTCCACAGCCGAGAGGAAGCTGGCGTTTTCTCTGAGCGCGTCGAAGTCGGCGGACAGCATCGGTCACAACCCCTCCCCCACCTCCAGCGACCCGGAGGCGGCCGACGGTACAACGCCGGACGACCTCCTCGACGGAGCCCAGAAAGCCGCCGCCACGAGCCCCAAGAGCGCCCTGAAGTCTCCGTCGTCCCGCAGGAAGACGTCCCAGAACCTCAAACTGAGGGTCACCTTCGACGAGCAGGTGCACAAGAGCTCCAGTCAGGAGGCGGAGCCGAGCAAAGAAAGGCATCATGGGAAGGAGAAGGAGAGGACTCCGACGGGGAGCGGCGAGAGCAAGCGTCCGTTCGGGGCGTTCCGCTCCATCATGGAGACGCTGAGCGGAAACACGAACCACAACAACAACAGTCAGCCGGCCTCCACCTGTCACAACTCACCTGGCAGGAAGTCAGAGAGCAGAGGGGCGGGAGGGGGCGGGGCCAAGGTGAAGAGCAAAACCAGTAACGTTTAATCAAACCAGAGACGACTGGAGGACACGGAGCAAACGGAGACGCAGGATACATGAGCAACTCATATTTACATGGTAGCAGAGGAACCTTCATGGAGGACGAACGAATATTTAAACAAATCCATAAAATATAAACAAACAGACTAAACACTGTGGTCAGGTGTGTTCTACCGCCAAGACTCAATTAATCACGTTTTATTTATTTACACCCTTCAAACTAATCAAAGCTTCACAAATGATTGACCAGACGAAGAGACCAATCTACCAAATTAAGTTATTTAAATAAACATAAATAAATAAATTGATCATTATGAAAATAAGTAAAATTAGGGCGTAATAAAATAAAAATAAAACTATAGCATAAAAACACGTAATTGTAATGTTATTAAAAACACTACGTAGAAGCCAGACTGAATAGATTAGTTTTTAGTTTCTGTTTCAAAATATAAATATTTTCGGCTCCTCCTGGAAGTCGTCACGACTAAAATCATCGTCACTAAATTAAAAAGAGAAGAAGAAGTCTGGTGTAAAAATGAACAAGTCTCAGTTTAATGAGTTTAAGATAACCGTGATATGTTCTCTCCTTTATGTCGTAGTTAATACTCCGGCTGCACAGCTTTGATTTGTATTAATTGTTTTCTTTTGTAGCGTTTTAATCGTTATAAAAGCGTCTCTTTGTGTTTCTCTACTCCGACTTTGTTTTTTGCTACATTTCATAAATGATCTTAAAACTGAATGAAAAGACGACATTTGTTACGTGTGTCGGAGCCAAAAACACCAACACAGCCTTCACTCTCCGGTGACCACTTTAACTCTAATTAAATTTAACTTTCCTCCACTTCTGTTGTTGAGCCATAAAGCTTCTCATGTTTCTGCGTCTGATGTTTGAACGACTGAAACATGAACTCTGTTCAATGGTTCACAAACATGAACCACTGAGTGTTCAAAGAATCGTTTTCTATCCACCAACTGAAGGAAACGTTTGTTCCTGAAGAAACTTCACATAATTCGTAGCTTTTCACCTTTTCTATTAGTTTTTATCATATTACGTTTGTTTATTTAGTCTCTGCCACTTTGTTACTGAACTCCACTAAAGATGAAGTATTAATATTTATGTTTATGCACAGTTTCATGATTAAAAAGTGGTTAAAACTCACGCACGTGGTTAACGTGCACCAGCACAACAGATCGTTTTAAACCACTGTGTGTATGTATGTATGTATGTATGTATGTATATATATATTAATATTAATATTAATATTAAAATATATATATATATATATATAA